GAATAAATAAACACATTTTGCATTGTGGCAAATCCTCCTTCATAATTTCAGGTTTTTGATGCAACAAAAAGTTCTTCAGTTAAAATTTCTTCTATAAAAATGTTCTTTGTCTTTCCGCAGGTGCCAAAGGAGGTGAGGAAGGTGTAAACAAAGCATTCACTCTGAAGCAGACATTTGCAAGTGAATTGCGCCCTGCACTGTTTTTATTTTCTCCCCACATCAAACCCATGTCTGTAGTTTTGTGTCTTAGCGTTAGATCTATTCTGAATAACCCAGGCCTTTATGTGTCCCCCTGTCTTTGTGGCTGTCTGCTCCAGATGCACGGAAACAAGCAGCACATGCAGAAGGACTTCTTTTTGTTGAACTCCTCCAAGGCCCGCTCCAAGTCCTACATCAACCTGCGCGAGGTGACACAGCGCTTCCGCCTGAGCCCCGGCGAGTACGTCATCGTCCCCTCCACCTACGAGCCGCACCAGGAGGGCGAGTTCATCTTGCGGGTCTTCTCTGAAAAGAAGAACACCTCAGAGTGAGTGGACGAGTTCTGCAGGGGGTGAGCGGGGCTGCATGTGGAGGGTAAATTAGTCTGCCCTCAGAGCTTTAGATTTAGTCAGGCATCGTAAATTCTTCTTTGGGTCTTAGTAGAGTATTAGTGAAATACAACCAATATTAGAGTTATAATGRTATGTTTTTGTTTCAGATGTTTTGGTAAAAAAATGTAGCATAAAAAGCTCCATTTTCTCCAGGTTTTTACAAATCTCTTCCACAGGAACCTGTCCTTTTATAGATTAATTCAGAAGCTCAAAGCTACACTAAACATACATTTTATATTACATTTATTACACCTGAAACAAGCAAAAACCTTCAGGCAGGGGGCACCACCAGAGGGGACTGGCCCTTCCTAAAAAACTGGTGTTCCTCATTTCCCCAAAGCTTTTTTTTTTGTTTTATTTTATTTTATTGTCTTAAACTATTTAGGATTAGTAGAAACTCGTGGACATAAAAGCAACAACTATTTCTGTACAATTAGTAGCTTAAAATAAAATTATTAATTACATTTCAAATTAAAAAATATTTTTAAGGGATCCTCGATTAGTTGTAACATTAGACTTTATTTGATAAACATATTTTAACT